CTCTATTAGGGATGTGTTTAGAATTTGCGGTGTACAAGCGGCCATCGCTGATTCCATTAAACACAAGACTTTATGGCCAGTTTCTCAAACTATCTTCTGTAGATTCTTGAAGATGTTGTAATTTTTCTTACACTTAACTGATGTCGATTAAATACTTTATCCGCAACAGTTTATGCCGTTTAAAATCAAACCGTAAAGTTTCTTACATAGTTAGTTATCTTGTACGATTGTGTGCAATTTATCTGAGCAATCTTGTAATAAAATCACTGTATGTGCGCAGGCATATGTGTACGCTTGGGTCGGTTACCGTTAAAAGCTTTTAAAAACTACACGAAATGGCCTTTCGCTACCACAAAATATATTTAAAAAGTGGTTTACGTTATGTAATAAATCCTTTTAATGATGGAGAAGACAAAAAAGTATTAAAATAAACATGATTCCGTCAACGAAAGCTGAAACCTGTAACTTAAATATTGAAAATAAACATTAAACGGCGAGCGACTTACTAAAGTCAACGAAAAGCAAAAGGGTACATTTTATATGTACGCACACGGTACAGATTGGTGCAGAGTGGTGGACTCTGCTCTGACAGTCGCTATGATCGATTACTCGACTATGATTTATTTAATGCAGTTACTAATGCTACATTTTTATGAAAAAAGGAGAAAAATTTATGTGAAATTATATATAAAAATATCGACGATAAGTCAAAGTGTGACTTGCACAGACATTGTAACAACTTCTAGTTCCACTATCAATTTCAAGGTTGCACAACAGATCGTCTTATCTCTTAGGCGCGGTCTTATTGATTAAACTTTCAAACTTCATTTCCCGCTCAGTTCGTAAATATATCCATGCAATATACATTTATAAGGACCCATCTGTAATTGCAGTAAAAACAATGGGGATGAGAGGGGAGAAGAACTATACGCAACAGCCTATATAAAACATATTGATCTAAGACTCGGTACAAATATTTCCTTAGATCGATTACAAAGTCCGTGTAAATATTTCCGATTAGGCAAATAACGCGCCTACATATAGTGAGTTGTTATGTTTTGCAAGTGAAGCGTAACCAAGTCGAAGCTATGCCTTATACTTTTTGCAATTTCAAATTACAATCGAATGCTACAAGATATGAATATGCATCAGTTCGTTGTGAAAAATGGTACGATGTTTAAAAATTATATAGCACTACCATGAGTAGTTTAGTTAGTAGTGGCTTTCTTCTTTGCTTCTTCTTGTTATTCTTCTTTTGATATCGAGAATGCATCTATGGACGCAAGGCCCGGTAATACTCAAGCGTATATATAATTGAGAATCGAATCTTTACATCAAGTCTACGAATAATCTCAATTCGCCTTCATAATCATCCTTAGTGATATCATATCATGTTAACAGAGATCAACCGACCAGGCATCCAATTAAAAAAAAAGCAAGAAAAGAAACAAAGCGAAGCAATTAATGTGCCGCGTTTTCAAGTGTTAATTAACACCAGTATTGCCATAAGTTTTGATAATCATAAACAATAACTTTCGCCGCTTGCTGTTACGGCCAAAAGCCTTTTTATTTCATTTAAAAAACAAAAACAGGAACAACAAAATATATATAAATATATTAGTTTGGGGAAAAAGAAATCCATTATTTTTATATGAACTTCAGGACCTTATTTAACATGCTTCGGATTGTCCGATTTGGGTCAAATATGCACCGTTTTGTTGTACGATTTGTTGCCATTTTAAAGGTAACTTCAAAATGCCTCTCTCATAGAAGTCCTGGTCTCTATTTGCAAAAAAACTCTAGTAGTCGATTTTCACAATCCTCCCTAGATTCCAATTTTTTATCATTAAAGAAATTTTGCAATGCAAGAAAAAGATGATAATCGCTTGGTGCCAAGTCCGGACTGTATGGCGGATGCATTACAACTTCCCAACCAAGCTCCCGAAGTTTCTGGCGAGTCACTGTAGATGCGTGTGGCCTAGCGTTGTTCTGGTGGAGCACGACACCTCCCCTGTTGGCCAATTCTGGCCGTTTCTGGTCAATCGCTATCTTCAAACGGTCCAGTTGTTGACAGTAGAGATCAGAATTTATCGTTTGGCCATATTGAAGCAACTCATAATAAATAATCCCCTTCCAGTCCCACCAAATGCATAGCAAAACCGTCCTGGCCGTTTGAGGTGCTTCACCGCTCTTCGATCACGATCGTTTTCGCACAGGGTTATCGTATGTGATCCATTTCACAATTTTAGCCGCTTGGCTTGCATTTTCGCCTTTGTCAAAGAAAAACTGTAAAATATATCGAATTTTCTCTTTGTTCACTTCCATTTTTAACACACTGTAACTCACAACTGAATGCACCAAACAAAAAACAGCAAAAGAATTTTTTTTACTGCGAAATATCACCTTTCCAACGAGAATAAATCTGAAATTGTTTGATCGATACTTTACGAGAAATCTATCAGTGCAGCCATCTACCGAAAAAATAATGGATTTCTTTTTCCCCAAACTAATATATATATATATTTTTACCTAGTTCTGAAGCTATTTAAATTTTCCTTTTCTTTCCAGTTAATTTGTTAAAATTCATTTAAAAAAAGTTTAGCTCACCTTGAGGCTTTCAAAATTAAGAAAAAGTAAAGCATGTAGAGCATTAAACAAATGTTAACAAAAAAAAACAATCTTTATGGGTTTTCTTGTTTACTAGCTAGAAAGAGGGAAAGTATTATGTAATAAAGTTAAATGAAAAAAACTCGAACCATACACTTGAAGTAAATTTGAAAAAAGAGAAATAAAAAAACAAAAATTGTAATAATAATAATAACAATAATAATATAAAATATTTAATTTATGAGAACATTTTATGAGTGGTCTTAAGGTTCAAAATTAATACACCAACAAGGAGATTACATATCCTTTATCATTTTTCATAGAAGGCTTACGTTACATACGCAAAAATGTTATTGAACACTAGAAAAAGTATACTCTAACCTTACCGCAGCGACATACAAACAAGCGCAGGAAATGTCCGAACCAACTTTTACATTAATATCACTTGGAAGTGTTCAGATCAACCGTTTAGATATCTATCACGGTGGTGTTTATGTGTGGATAGCGCGTATTTCTAAATTTGGCGAATCGCCCTTCAACTATAAATACGTATATATTCTGTTTTCGAAACGTTACCGTTCGGATAATAGACTTTACACAGACGATCAGTTTAGCTTGTTGGTGTTCCGTCCATTCCGTTCTTTGCATCCATCTATTGTTTCGTTTATCTACGTTTTCTCATTCATATCGGTTCTTCCATCCAACCCATGTCAATTTTAAGTTAAGTGTGAATTCTTAATTACCTGTTTTTGGGTTAAAACGGAGTTTTCTTAGACACTCCCTCAAGTCAACACATACCAGGTATTTTGTTGCCTATGGCGTAACATTTGATCGACGCGCATTCGTTTTTTTTTTTGCACTGACGTTTTAGGTTCAAGAAATATTTTTACGCAATTTTGGTTCAACCTCTCTTAGTGGTCGTGGGTTGAACTTTCGTATCTAAGAGGGAAATTTTTGTTTGTGCATGTGTGTTATCTCTATCCTAATGACAAGTTAAGCACTGCGTTTGATTGAAATTAAGTTCGAGTGGGAAAGGTACCGTAAGCAATTGTGGTTCCTATGAAATCAAAAATCGCGCATATGTTTATGTAACTTTACAGCATATAGCCGTCCTGTCTGTCCAAGCACTACAAAAAACTTTAACTACTAAAACTCAATTTTAGAGTAACTTGAACGTGCCATTTTAAGAGTAACGAAGACCTAGGAGCCATGCTGAGCTAGCTAGATCGTGAGATGTGGGAGGGGAGTTGATTTCTTTGCTCACGGACACTCCTAGAACGGCAACAGCCAAAAGAAATTGCACCTACTTATGGCTGTGCACCAAATTTGTTTAAATGCAACGAACACACATCAGAAGGACAGACGGACAGACAGGCTTAGATGGATTTAAAAAATGATTCTGAATCGATCGGTATCATAAAAGATGGATCTACCTTATGCTCGTCTTCTGCGTGTTATATACATCCGCACTAACTTAATATATCCTGTACCACAAGAGGTGTAGTGTTTTAAAATTGTAATTAATCGGAGGAAGCAGTGTGCTTTGCATGCGTACATAATATAAATTTTTTCAATCATATTCGATTCCGTAAATGAGAGAAAGTAGCACAAAATGATATCTAAATTTTTTTGCTAGATGGTAGCTTCAATAAAATTGTCGAGAAGCATATCTAACGGCTCGGAGAAGGCCTTTTCTCACGTTTCCGTTTCGTAACTGTCCAAATAATAAATATTCAGTAGTAGTCAATCGAAATGGAAAAAATCAAAGTTGCACTTATCTGATTACTTTTAGTAGCGTGCACTTCTCATAGTTTGCGTTATTTGTAATTCTTTTTTTCTCGAAAATAATTTCAATATATTTTAAGTTATTAGGAAAATGGCAAATGTCATGTGGGTTGGAAAAAACAATAAACAATAATTTACTGGCACGTTGCCGTACATGTGTTGGTAGGTTAGGAGTTGTGTTTAGGACATTTTCTACTTGCGAGCATAAATAATTTTTGCATAGAAAGCCACAAACAATAATCAACCGCAATACCGAGAAATTTCTAATTGCTGCCCGAAAATAAACGAAATTGCAGCCTACAATTTATTCGTTGCAAACCACAAGAGTACAAATTCCAGTCAACGAATTGAGTTTAGTTCCTGGGAGTAATGTTTTGTTTATTGCAACAACAGCTGCAGCTGTTGCGGCCGCCACTTCTGCTGCTGAATATGATTGAAATAAATCAACAGCAGACTTAGTTTAACGAGAAGAGAAAGCAAAACGAGCAAGATTGAGTGCATTTAAACCTTCTAAAGTATTCTAGCGTAAGCTAGAGTTTTAAAGAGTTTCACTGAATCGTTTTGTCTTTCGCTTCGATTTACTTTCTTACAGATTTGATTCTGTGGCCGAACGGAAAACGAAATCTGACAATATCTCCAATTTTCGCTGTCAACTTCCAGAGGAAGGATCAGCTTTCGTGACATTCGAAAATAAATTGCCATAATCACAGGTACTTGCTGCTGTTAATCCAAATGCTCACAATACGTATTTTCCACAAAGCTTGAATATTTCCACCTTTCAAGCTCTCTCTCTTTCTTTTTCGCTTTCATAGAACCTTTCAATAATATTTTGATTTTCACTTATTTATTTACTATATACTTCGAATTTTTATATCATTCACAAAAAAAAAAAAAATAGATATAATTATTATTGAATTAAAAAAATATTATTTAGTGTTCATATGTACCAGAGGTAAGTTGCCGTGTCACGAATAAAATGGCTTTTCTAGAAGTAGGTACAGTCCTAGTAGGGAACTGTGTGATCTTGAAGAAGTAACACAGTTGGGAATCTTTCAAGAAAGAAAATTTTCCTTTCATTCGCTTCCTACACGCTTGAAAACTGCTACGATATACATAAAAAGTAAAATTCATAACCTAAAATGAATTTATTTATATCTTAAAGGGTTTTTTTTTTTTTTAATATAATTTCTTTGAAATCGAAAAATATTTGGCCTTTGCTATGATTCTCGTAAGCGGCTAAGCCTCACATCCCCTTGGCATGGTTAGATTTTAGGGTTAAGGTAGTACAAGCGTAGCTAGCAACGGCCCGACGAGCGAGAGAGAGATAGAGAGCGAGCAAGCTTATAGCGAAGAGGGTAGAGCAAAGGTCCATCTGGATGAGATTGTTCTCATAGTTTTTCTCATTTTCACTTTAAACCATCACATATCTTGTTTTCTTCTTGGTCGAAGGAGTATAAGTGTAGCTAACAATGGCCCGGCGAACGAGAGAGTGACAGAAAGAGAGAGAGCGAAAAGCAAAGAAGCGCAAAGGTCTATCTGGATCAAATTGATCTCATCGTTTTTATTCAATTCTTTTACTGTTGGTGGACTTTCTTTCAAACTGAAGCTGAAATTTAAAAAAAAAGTCGATGTAAAATAAGTAAATTTAGAAAAATTCGTAAATAGATCAGTTAGCATAAGAAAAAAGTTAACTAAACGGAATTTTCATTTAAGAATATAAAGATAGATTTTCTTGTATTGTTAAGGACGTGAGATATACATTGGATGGAAGAAAGTATTATAAGAAAACAACAGGACTTGATCATAAGATTCGTTTAACGTGCAAACTGCGTTTACCATAGATGCACGTAGATAAGCTTATGAACATATGATGATTGTTTTTTAAAAGCAAAAGAATTCATTTATTTTATGAGAAATGCCTGAGTGCTTGTTGATGCTTATCATCAGCTAAGGCATTACAACAGCTATAGCAGCAGTAGTAGTAACAACAACAACAACAACAACAACAACAATAATAATAATAATAACAACAATAATGATGATGATGCTTGTTAATAATATGGTAGCTCTTGCCGTTATTGTCTTGATTGCTTAGTGGAAACTAAACTAAAATAATCCTCGCCGGAATGACAAAAACAAAATAAAGCAACAACAATAATAAAACATACAACAGCAACACAACAGCACACACAGCCATAACATGAAAAAGTACTATATTGTTAAAAGTGGATTTGTGTGCTCGTTTTATTTATTTTTTATTTTTTTTTTTCTAAGATTAAATGGAGAACTTTTCAGAGAGCGCACTTGTGCTTGCGTGTGCATCTGTATGTCAATGTAAACGCATGAGTGTACGTGTGTCTCCACTGGTTCGTCTTTTTCCACAAATATCGTAATAAAACAAGAATAGTTTTTTTTTTTCTATTTTTTTTTCTTTTTCTTTAAATACTACCCGAATGCCAAAACACGTGGATTGTCAAGGCCTTCGTTGCTTCGCGGTGCATGTATGTTAAAGAACATATAAATACACACACACACACACACACACACACACGCACACGCACACGCACACGCACACAAATGAACACACTTACCCGACTGGTTCTAATTTTAATTTCTGGTTTTTTTTTTTTTTTGCTTTTTTTTTAATGATCGCAAACAAAAGACAACAAGCGTTTAATTGTTATATGATTGCATGCATGCATTCTATGCTTAAGAATTAAATAACAACAATCATACGCCTAAGTAGTCGGATGTTTGTGGCTTTTACTTCAAATGTGAGAACAATTTTAGGGAGAAAAAACAAAAGCAAAAAAAGGAAAAGCACACATACACATACGCGCATTTAAAAAATTAACAAAATATCTATTGAAAAGGATGTGCATGATGTGTTATAGTTTTATATAAACTTAATAATAGCAATGAAAAATTTGAAATCTTTTTGCTCGTAAAACTAGGAAAAATTGTTCTTTAGAAAACATTGTTGACTAATATAGTTTTTTTAGCGCTTTAGCTTTTAATTTCCATTCGTTGAAGGTGAAATAAGTATTAAATGAACGCTAAACGTTAGAGCCAAGCAAGGACATCCTTTGGACGCCTAAAACGATATTTCACTTAAAGCAGTTTTCTGATGAGAACCTCTTTTAGGGTAAAGAGTTCGAAAAATAGGCGAATATTGTCCAAACTTGGCATAATTCATTTACATGACAAATCACTATTCTGAACCAATTTCCATAGTAAAATAGCAGAAACTCTTATGCTTAATAAGTACACTTATAGGATAATAGGCAATGGAAAAGAATTATTCCGTTTGACTGATTTTTACCGATAAATGATAAAAATTGTAAGCTTTTTCTTTAAAAAACGATTTTCCATTTTAGTTCTAACTCCTTTTACAATTAAATTTAAAAGTTACGTTAAAATATGGAAGAAGAAGAAGAAGAAGAAGCGGAATGTACTGAAATTAATTTCCGTGATATAATGGATTCATGACTTCGAAAAAGAAGCCCAACACAACAGAGCGTGGAATAAAAATGCCTACACTCAACATTAACTTTACAAGAAAAAGTGCTGCTGACAATATATTAGATGTTATAAGCGCGGATACCAGCGCTTCGTATTATTCCATCTCATTCTTGTTTTCGCACTGCCGTCTCTTGCTTACAATGCTATAGACGCGTAAGAGTGATATCAGTATTTGGTGATTGCAAGGCTTAACAACTTTTCGGATAAAGGAAAAGGTGCACATACGTCACGCAATCTACAAGATATTAAGCGAGATTTCGGCAGTAGAGGAATGCATTTCCGACGCTCGTGTTGAAAATGCACTTAAAGTCTCTTACGAATTTATATGCGTATTCGAAAATTAACACCGGTTTGTTTGTACTTATATTACCTACGTACGCGTATACTTTTTGATAGTTTCCACTTTAGTTCCAAAAAAAACCCGGAACACGCGTGGTAGTTCGCAAATGTAAAAGAGATGTGTTTCAAGTGTTCACAGGCAACTATTCTGGCCCCTCGAAACCGTGCTATTGATCTTTCTCTTACATACATACTTAAAGTAAGAATTCACTTAACAACGATAAGATCGGGAAACGATTTGATTTGCGTTAAAGTGTTAAATAGCATAATCTTCTTATTACCCGTTAAAAGGCCTTATAATTAAACGGCAAACAACAGCTGGCTAAGATACTCATCTAACTAATCCAATCTGAACCCAAGCGACGAGGTTAAGTTAAGCGAAATACATTTCTTTTTAAGACAAAAATAGGAAAAACAACACATGGTCCAAGTTTTTCATTTTTAAGGCGCTTACAGTTGAAAACGAAAAAACCAAAGCAAAAAAAAAAAAAGAAAACCGAACTTAAATCTTTTTTTCTCAATGCAGACAATCTGCCAAGAAAGGGACTTAAAGTTCATGGAAGAGACATGCACAGCGTACGAAGCAAAAAAACATACAATTAAAAGTTTCCCTACAAAATTCCCACACATTAATACCTACGCATTTGTTAGGCGCGATGCACGTGTATGTGTAAACAAATGTTGGCCTATACGTGCTTTAGATGGCATCACAAAACTCGAATCCAGGACAGCGTATAACAGTTTGGTTACGCTGTTGTTGGTATATTAAGTTGGAAATGTGTGCATTCACTTGCCTACGTTTACATATATACATATATATGCGTGTGTATGCAAGAGCATATTTCAACTTTTAGTTTACCATCTGCCACAAACTATAACGGTATAATGGTAGCCCGGATGACATACTAGATGGTTAAGCGCATTCCATCGATTGATTTTTTGCTATTTTATTAGGAACTAAACGAGCGTCTACAAAAAAAGGAAAAAGTGTATAGATTTTGAAAAAAAACTTGGAAAAGAAAAAAGGATATTTGTAATGCAAGGAACACAGCAGCTGCGGTATTAATAAAAACTTAATAATTTGTTTTTAAAAATACTTCAAAGGCATAGCGAAACTGTTAAAGTTAAACAGCATTCGTGTATAGATTTAGGAAAACAAAGTCTTTTAGAAAATATTTCGAAATTTGAGATTTTTTGAGAATCTCACGGAAAATTTATTTAAGCAAGACAAGAGATATATACGCTTCTCTATCGATCTCTTTTTTATTGCAATTTACAAAACCCTTAAAAAATTGAACAACCGCAATATCACAAGTGTATCGTCCATTTATAAACTATACTCGCGAAAAGTGTTCATATAAATAAATTCGTATGAAACTTTATCTTCGATTATAGTTTCGATTATCTTATGAAGAAGAAAGAAACTTGAAAGCGAAAAATAAATGAAAGTTTTGCTTATGATCGATCACAAGCAAATATCTTCGACAAAGATATTCGTAAGGCCTAACAAGTTCAGCCAAAAAATGGTCCCGATCGATTTACTATGAATCGATTTTCTTCATAATAGTAATTTCGATCTATTTCTTGGATCATACCCCATACAAGATTGCTCATCTATAGTAAGCCTTTCAGGGAATTCCGGGTTTAATTATACCCACCAATATCAGATGGGGATATACTCGTTTCGTTTTTTCCCGTAATGTACGTAACATTCAAAAAACCTCTAAGATATATATTTTCTTGATCAACGTGATATTCCGAGTTGGTGTAGCTATGTCTGTCCGCATGTACAGGTTTGTGTGATGTATTGTTGACACTTTTCGGGTGAAGGTAACGACTTCAAATTTGGTAGAAACATTGGAAGTTTCTGCACGCAGGTTGCTATTGAAAATAGGCCAGATTGATCGGAGCGGAATAGCGCAGTGGAGCGGTTTTTTTTAACAAAACTTTTTGGATTTTTGTTCGTTACTCGAAAATTGTAAAAGGTAGAAAGAAGGCTGAAATTTACCACATTTACTTTAAGAAGCACTCTACTTAAGAAGCACATGCAGAAACGGAAAATATCTGCCAAACATAGTGGTGGGTATGCGTCATTCGGCGCTTGCCGAATATAACTTTCTTAATTGTTTTTAGCGGCAATTCAGCTAACAAATTAACGGTAGGAAATTTGGATCGTATGGCATTATTTTTTAGATCCTAACATATATAGAGTTTTTTTATGAGGGAAACCGGAAAATAATAACATTTTTTGGGAAGTAAATTAAGTTTGCCCAGTTAGATGAAGCTCTCATGAAAAGTACGCCTTTGCTTAAAAAGAATGGGTAATTTTTACTGCATCATAACCAAAACAAGCGATTCGCTGCGTGAGGCGAAGTGGTGTAGCGTATGTCGCTGTAAAGATTGGCCTTGCCCGTCTGTAATCTTCTTCTTTTGCAAATTGCAAGAATAATGTAGAGAACACACGCACGCATACACCAATGAGGAGGAATGGTGTCGAGACGATTTTCAAACTCGAACGGCACTGACAGGATTTCTCGCGTTTATCTTTTAACTTAATGTTTTAGTCAGTAGCGTGTGGTTTGATTGGAGGGCGCGCTTGTACTTATTTCTTTTTTTAATAATATTGTAATGGGTCCAAAAAATGCATTTGCTAAATTTCAACGTTTTATCTAAATTTGTCCGTCTTTGATAAACGACAAGTCATTTTCTTGTCAGCAATGACAACAGTTTTACTTACTCTAGATGAGGCATAGGTGATTCAACGCGGTTTAAGCTCGTGTTCATTTAAGCCACTACTAGATTGAAAATTTCAGGCTACAGCATCAACGCGTATTAACAGGCACCGAATCTATTTTACATCCATTCATAGGCAAATGATATGATGAACAACGTGAACAACAAGCTTTTCACGTATATCTCGGCCAAATATTCAATGTTGCTATTAGATAATACCCTAAAAAGTGAATCAAACTATGATTTTTTTTTTTTTTTTTTAATATCTGAAGGAATGAAGTGATTTAAAGTTTTGCCTGTGATTGGATGGATTCAACGAGAAATGAAATTTTATCGTTACTTAATTACCTCGAATATTAGGAGGCATTAAAATAGTATTAAAAATATGATCGACTTTCAACTCGAAATTTAATGGCTTTTGAATATGAATTAAGTTGTTTTTTACATTTAGCAAAGATCTAAAATCCTTTCTTTCCCAATCTGGGACTGGGCCTCAATTGCAACGAGAGACGTTGCCATTTGTCATGCAAATGTCATCCAAAAGTATTTGACGTAAGCTCACCTATTACGCCGTCTCGATCGATTTCGAATCATTTTCGAGATCGAGTTAAACTTGTCTGTCTGCTCGTTAATTTATAATATATTTGCGTTCAACCAATAGGTGTAGATATCGAGAATATTTGGGTAGTGTTGAACACTATTGCAAATAGATTGTTCCGACAATTTTCGCGATCATCCCGTATGTAAAGGTGTATTTTGGAAAAGATGTAGCGAATTTAATGACCATTTATAATCAATGTCTACCGATAACCTTCTCATTAATTTTATATATAATTTGAAGTTTTTTTTTTTTTTTTTTTGCGATATAATTTTTATATAATATTTTTATTTTATATTTTACTTGAGTTATTTATTTTGCATTTAAATAAACGTTGTTTGTATTTTTGTTGCATTTATTTATTTCTTTTTTTTTTTTTTGCTTACCTTTTATTTTAGAATATGCAAAACTAATAATAAATTATGCGAATGTAAATAGTATTTATTTATTTATTTATTTTTGTTGCTTTTTCTTTACAACAAGTTAAAACCATCTGCCGATATACTTGTGTTGTCCAACTGCAAAAGAGAAAGGGCGAAGAAAGGGGAAGTTGGTAACAAATAAAAATTAATTCAGAGAACTACGCCACCGTTAAAGTCGTTTAAGGTTTTTATTGCTATAAGCGGTCTCTTTACATGTACATAAAAAGCTGCACGATCGGTCAGGTTTCGGAAATAGCGTTGAAAAAAAAAGTCATAAGAAAAAGTGGGGACAAGAATACGCTAAGCAAGCTCATGCGCTTAAGCAGAACATAACGCCGAATTATAAACAATTAAGGAATGGCAATAATAAAAGAGTTATATAAAATTTCAACGACAAAAATCGAGGCAATTAAAATAATTTTTTCCCAATCGAAAAAGAAGCGATGAAAAGAATAAAAATCATATTCGTAACAACATATGCATCCAATCTGTTTCGTTGCTCCTTTTTAATCGGGTCCCTTAAACGCGTTATGAATAGACCACATAGACGTGTGCCTATTGTATTATTCATGTACGTGGACCTGTGTCTATTATTATCAATGATTGACCTGCGAAGAAGATGAAGAGATCGCCTAAAGAGTATTTTAGATTTGTTTTTCTCTTCTTTTTAAAGCCATCCCCGGACACCAACCGTTTTCTCACTCCCTCGAGATGGACCCTTATGGATTCTTGATCCTTATTATATCATCCCAACTCCCCCGTCCTCGCCTAAGATTAGGGGTCTGGTGTTGTCTTCATATGGCTTTATACGGAGTATATCTTGCAACAAATAAAACGACCGCTAGCATATTACTTAGCGTAATATCTATTTGCAGAGTTACGAAAAGCTCATCGTCCTTTATGCCTTATCAGAAGTCGTGTCTCGTGTCTTGTTCTTGAATGAGTGGAGTTAATCGTGTGGGAGGATGAAAGCAAATAAAGCTACTTGACGTCTTTCTAATCAAAGCATTAACTTATGTGGCGTCAATCCGGGCGTTGCCATCGTTTGTGCAGCTTCACTTATCGAGCTTCAAATATCGAGCATTTATTCGCATCCAGCCTTGTCTAAACGATTTCAAACTTGTCTATGATCAACGTTCAGTTCTACACTGATAACATAAGTCGAAATTCTTTAAAGAATGTCACCAGCTTTGTCGATGATTTCGTATTCACATATAATTTATATTTATATTTTTTATATTTATAATCTTAAAACCAAGGAAGAGGGGGATAAGCATTTTGCGAGCATTCAATTCGAATGCTCGCTATGCGATCATCCGTTTTGTATCGAGTCACTCTTGAAGGATCAACTGGGATCGGTACATCAGCGCGCAGGGAGTAAAAGAAAGCACAACTAGAGCGTGAAGGTCCCATTCATCAGATTTGGTACTTCTGTTTTTTAACAAAAATAGAATTTTTCTTTTGGGGTGATTAAGCAACATTTCCGTTCTTGCCAATAACGGTCATCCTTTCTTGTTAATCTTCTCTGAGAAGGTGCAACATGCTGGCGTAATGCTCGCAGCAATTGATGCCTAGATCTTGTCCACAATTAGGATAGGTGTTCGCCTTCAGTACCCGAAGAGAATGAGGCTAACACAGAATCGTTCTTCCATGCGGTGGTGACGGGGTACAAAACATGTGAAAAGTTTTCAAGAAAAAACATATGATTTAAGAGGCAAAGCTAAAGAAAAAAAAAAAAAAAAAGAGGAAAGAAAGGTGTTTCTGTGGATTTAAACATGTTAGTCAGACTGTGTAAAGGAGAAAGTAGAGAAAGCTTTTCTATGTCGCGCATACTTAAGACGTAAACAAGTAAAGCGTTTATTTCGTTTGGATTAATTGAGAAATAAACGTAAATCGAGTTAAGTTCAGTGAACTTTTTAGTTTTCCTACTTCTTTCATTCTTTTCTTCGCCTATCCGTCTTCAAGTTCCTCCAAGAAATTTATAATCTTCTGTCCTGTGCATATGTGCACACGAAAAGCGAAAGCTCAGTAAATCTTAAGTTTTTAATTAAATTTTACGCTTCAAGTGACTTTTTAACAATTTACCCATACATAATGATAACGAGAACGACAACAACCATTACAATAACAATAAACCTGATTGTCAACAACAATGCTTTTGCTGTGGCAGCATACGCAGAGAGGAAAGTCGATCACAAGACGCCTTAAGGTCGTTAAAACGATTTTCGAAGAATTTTTCAATTGCAGTAAACGGTAGATAATAAATATAAGCACGTGTAAGCCGCACGTATGTGTGCTTTTATATGGATATGTGTAAGATTAAATTTTACCATTATAACAAAAGGATTATTACTATAATGATTTTGAGAAGGCAAAGGCGAGAAGAAAGGAGAAAAGTTGAAGTAACGAAGCGTGCACGTATCTGTACACATATAACGGACGACCTTTGAAACCCGTGAAAGTTGATTTTACAACGTTCTAAATAACAACAAAATTACCTTAATATTAATAATAGGTTAACCATAATAATTTCAAAGAAAATCTATAGAGCAAACTGTCAACATATTAAGCTATCAATGTTTACTAACAATCTAAAACATATACATGCATACACGCACGCACTCACACCCACGTCCCATAAGCTATGAATTATATTTGATTAAAAGCAACAAACACACATAAAGGCAAGCACTTAACATGTCCAGGCAGTATTAAGTGCAAGGGAAAGAGATAAAGATCTGAGCAATTATATACCGACAGTTGCCTAACACTGGCAGCATTTTGCTAATTGTTCTTTACGAATATTAAATAAGTGATTTCGTTACTTATTTAATTAATTGCGCAATTATATGAAATTCATAATATCAAGCACAAAATTGTTTAACTAAAAACATTTATTACTCTTTTTATTACCGTCATCTCATTTATTTATTCATTTATTTTTTCGTTTATATTTCAGCTTATTCGAGCATAATCTGCCTGATATTCTCTCGATATATGCAATGGAAATTGACTAAAATGCAGAAATTTTACATGAAATCCGTTAATTGTTATCCTAAAGCATATGCGAGGCAGACCGGGAATGCATTATCGACAATGAAATAACCGGCTTTTGCATTTAATCCGTTAATTTAACAACAATAACCAGCAAAAGAACAATAGGAGAAAAATATAAAAATATAAAACAATAACAAAACAGACGAAGAATAATTCATTCACGCTCTACAGAGTAGTTTTTCTCCTGATTTTTTCCGTCTTTTTTTTTGTTTTTTTTTTTTTCCTCTTTTTTTTTTTACAACATTAATGAAGAGAAAATTGCAGTATTGATAAACTATCATAACAAACAAGAAAAGCAAAAAAAAAAAACTATTTTTCCCATTTCTCTGCATTTATATATAATTGGAAAGGAAAAGAGAGCGAGAAAAAAAGGGGGAAAAACAAAAGAAAAAAATATTTTTTATGATTACGTACGTAGCAGTAGTCCCCGTAAACGTAGCCGCAGCCGCAGCCGTAGCTGTAGTCGTAGCCGTAGCAATATCAAGAGCAATAGCAACTGCAACCGAAACAGCTTAATATAAGACGAAGACGTGTAGTGTTGTGGTAGCTCAGGAAAAATGACTAAAAAGTACGAGTTTGATTGGATTATACCGGTGCCACCGGAACTTACTGAAGGCTGTGTTTTCGATCGTTGGTTTGAAAATGAAAAGGAAACCAAAGAAAATGATTTCGAAAAGGATGCAAAATTTAAAGTCGACGAATATGGCTTCTTTCTCTACTGGAAAAGTGACGGCAGGGTAAGTGGCTGTAAAGTCCAAAATATATAAATAAATAAATAAATAATTTAAAAAACAATAAAAATATATGAGAACAATTTAATCTTAAAAATAAATGAATCAACTCAATGAATTTCCAACTCTTCGCTTTAATCTGCTTTCATTCTTTTGTTTTTAACAGGAGGGTGATGTTATAGAACTCTGTCAAGTTAGTGACATAAGAGCGGGCGGTGTACCGAAGGTAAGCGTTGGCGTTTTTACTTTCATTTCCTTCTGAATTGCCTTTTCCCTTCACACATCCGCCTTTATGTTTTTCATCTCATTTTTACAGTTTATTGATTTTTCTCAGAGGAGAAAAAAAAAAGAAGAAAAACACAATCACATCGTAAAAATATGCAAAATTCGTTATACAGTTTGCAACGAAAGCAAAAAGATATATTACGAGCAGCTGCAGCGAACTCCGTCTATCTCTATTACAACTGGGCAAATATTGCGAAAGAAAACGACCATTCCGATCCATTATAGAAGGCTCTCAGTTACGATCAGCAGATCTCCCTTGATGCTGAACGAAACAAATCGCCCCCAATTATGCAACACTTACCCTTTCTCCACTTACAAGTGTTAAGATAGAAAAGTGAAATTGTTCGCAAAGGCCGACTAAGATCTTGCTTCACAAGTATAGCTTCATCTAAGGAAATCTTCTATTTCGCTTATTCAGAATTATCAAGAGTGCCCAGATGCGGGAATTCAAAGAGTTTGCAGTCAATCGTTAGGTGTCTAAGATTCGTTCTCGGAGAAGTGTAGCATTTTATAAAAATTTGTTCTAAGACTCATCATCATCATCATTATTGTTTTGACATTGAAGTGTAATTCTTTTTCATTTTCTTCTACAGCGAAACTATGTGTGGATGGGGTGGTTTGAGCGGCGTGTGGGGATTAAAGGGAGAAAAAGAAGAAGAAGAAAAATAAGAATAACATATATTTCGTTTAAATTTTCGTTTTCTTTTTTTTTTTTTTCTTTCATTCGAAGTGAATGACGAATTTTTATTACAATAATGATTGACAGACAAAATAAATGGTTTGTCGATTTCTTTAAAGAAATAAAATGTTTATTTGAAAAAAGAAAAAAATAGTAATAAAGAAAATAAGAAGATAATGCAATATATTTTTAAGAGCTTAAATGACAATGTTAAGTATGCGCTTTAACCCAAATTTCAATAAACCACCAGTGCTCAGGTGAACTTAACAAAAGTAGTAATAGTATGTTTTATCAAGGGACATTCGATCGCCAATCATTCTCATGACATTTATATATATATTCAATAGCAATGCATGGACGTGTGTTAGATTTGTCACTTGGTCTATAATATCTAAAAAATTCGCACCGAAAACTTTATACGACGACGATATCTATTCTTGATTACCGTATGATCGAGTTAGACTGTTCGTCTCTCTATTTGTTCGACTCCTTTTTATTTACTAATCATGCCCTCAATAGGCCAAAAATATCAACTGCCCAACCATGACGATTATTAATCTAAATCTTGCAATAAATATGGACTCGAGTTTTTTACATTCGCAATGCAAGAACGGACGTGATACGTTAAGTTAGTGCGGACGTATGTAACACGCAGAAGAAGAACATAAGGTAGATCCATGTTTTATTATACCAACCGATTCAGAATCATTTGCTAAATCGATCTAAGCCTGTCCGTCCGTCTGACCCTCTGATGTCTGTTCGTGTCATTTAAACAAATTTGGTGCACAGCCATATTTTGACCCCTAGGTCGAACCCTAACGAAAATGTTTCGGAATGGTCCACATTTTGCACCACTCCCCGTAAAACGCCCAATTGTGAAAACTCATTGCAATTTTCAAAATTTCTCGGCAAATTGTTTACGTAGTATTATTTCGGGCTTCTGGGGCAATTTTTGAACCCCCTCTCATATAGCGAAAAGTGGAGTTTATACGACAAAAGGATATAGTTTTATATCATAACAGTAATTTAGCAGAAAAAAATTAACTGTACCAAATTTCGACTATTCCGGGCTATTTGTTGAATCCTACCCTATGTAAAGATTTTGATCCTTTATAGGACAGAAAAGTCTAAATTTTAATAAGTGTTAATGACAATTAACCCATAATAGTAATTTGATATAAAAAATTATTTAAAAAATACGTCAATGTTTGAACATCTCTGGCGCAACCATTCTAACGGAAGACTGGACTTCAGTTGTAAAGAGATCTAATTTTTAATATACAGTCCCATAATAGCATGTTCGTATCAGGATATAATTTTTGTGTTCTATGGCAAAAATAAAAATTGTGTTATACGATATGGCGTAGCGTCTTTAATAGTTGGTCTAGCTCGCCTGTAATGTTTTCACTTTTTATTGTAATCGAAACCATTTTATTGTATTCACACACACTTAGAAAATCGAAACACTGACATTTTGTGCGACTGCCTATTCTGTTTATACTAATCGCGCGTGAACTGCTTAGATTTTCTCCTCTAATTTTTTTAATTTTTTTTTTTTTTTTTTTTTCTTCTTATTTTAATTGCGTCGGCGTACTCAACACGCCAAGATTTATAAAAAATAACTTCTGACTTTCAGTGGAGCGACACGAAAATGCTCGAAGACATCTGATAATCGATCCATCTCACTAATATCTTTCAAGGCCTTCAAAATTTGTTCTTTTAGTTATAATTCATTTTATTTCTATTTGCACGATTTTCGATTTTGTAGGAACCGCAATTGTTTTATGAACCAAATGTAACATAACGGTACCTTTGTAGCTCGTAAATTAACTTCAATCAAATGCATCGGGTCTGAGTCAAGACCATCTATGCTTGGGCTGTCATTGGATTGCTTATATTGATGATCATAGATCAAGCTGACATATAGGGATAACACATACACACAAACAAACACACCTGCATTAGGTAAAAAATGTTAATCCTCATGACCTCTAACTGATTATGAACTAGAATTTGAAACCAATAATTCCGAAAGCTGTTTAAAAGGTCGGTGCAAAGAAATTTGCAATCGATCAACTCATACACCGCAAAAAGACATAAGTTACAAAGAACTTTGCGTGAGCTGACTATGAAAAACTCGCACTAAGGGGAATATCACTTTTCAACTATTTATATATATTTAACTGAAGGTAAACATAGACGAACGGAAGAGCAGCTAAATGGAATGAAAGATGAATGGAAAAATATAAATGTACAGAAAGGCAGATGGGTCGATGGACCGATAGAAAGACGAAATGCAGAAGGACAAGTAAGAAAATTAAATTTAGTCGGGACCGAATCCTTTTACCCATAATCGTTATCCTAAAAACGACAAACGAAGTATAAGAACAACATCTTCATGCTCTAAATAAAATATGGAATGGGCGCAGCTGATTTTTTCTCTTGCAAAATAAAAGCTTTTGTCGTATAGGCTTGTGACTATCATCATTCGAGGATGGATACAAAAAAGCATATAGGTGGACACACGGATACAAGCACCAAATAGACCTAGATCGGACCAAGAGTATCATCTAGAGTTACCAAAAAAAAAAAGAAAAAAATGAAAACAGTTGGTAAACTTAAATAAGGTGAAGTGCGTAAAGCTGCCGTTTTGGTTGATGCGATGCATTGTGATGCAAAGCGTTGTCATATCTTTTAAAACGGAAAAATGTTACATATATACATATATACGAGACGAGCGGTAAATTGTATTACAAATGGATTTTCGTTCAATTGAACGTAGCCGAATATCCTCATCTTATTTTTTCATCTATGTAGACGTATAGAGTTAAAGCGAAGAACACGGGAAATTTACGGCAGTTAGTGTATATAACTTTCTAGTTGAGTAGTAGTTCTGCTCTGCTTGCAAGCAAACTTTGCTGAACTCTCTGCCTTCTTCTTGTAGTCCGCGACATGTATTATTGAGTAAGATAGAGGTAATGATAAAACTGTATACATACCTAAGATTTATGCATATCTGTGCGCTGGTATATGAAATCGCTACCCTTCCCTACCTTGTCTGTTTACGTCTGTCTTTAATTGCTTCGGCCTAGATCGATTGCTAAGAATCAGCGAAAGATAACTTGTTTCCATAATGTCCCTAAAGGTAATGAAAAATAGCATTACTCTAGAATTGTTGAATCTATGACTCTTGCTTGTTCCTGCACCATTTGTGGCGCACAATACATACATACAATAGGTATGCAATCCTTTAGATAGCAATAATGAATCATTTTTAATGTTTCATGTCGAGTTTTAGCAAGAAACTGTATCGAGTCATAAAGTGTATCGGTTCTGGCCGATTATTACCTCTTAATCTATTTGTTCTTTTTAATTATTGAAATGTAATGGAATTAAAACAACAAAATATATTATATTACAATAAAATCAGTAAACTGATACTTGTATGTATCCCGTCGCAAGAGGAGTTTTATGCTTCGCAATAGGAGCTTATGCTTAAATACCGGCTCCTTGAATAGTCACGAGTTCATTGTAACTTAGGTTTAATTTTTTGGAATTTTAGAAAAAACCTTGACCCAGTCCAACCAAAAACCTTTTTGGTTTGATTCGTAAAAAAAAAAAAATAATTACTTTCTAGAAATTTGTTAGTTACGCCCTTTTTCATAAGCGGAAATGTGAATAATATATTGAAATTCAATTCATTCCTGTTGTAAAATTTATATAAATAAAATTGAAGGTAATGTGCTTTACCATAATTCCCTACTCATTGCCTTACTTTGTTCTATTCTGTTACAGGATCAGAAGATATTAGACAAGGTCTGTAAAAAGAATGGCAGTGATTTACAAGCATTGGATAAACGCTCGTTAACCATATGCTCGAACACCGATTACATAAACATAACATATCATCATGTCATCTGTCCGGATGCGGCAACGGCTAAGGTAGGTTGTGTCGTATGATTAAATTAATGCAATGCCCAAAAGACTTGACAGTTTTGAAATTTTTAAAAGTATTTTTACTTTCATTTTTCGCTACATTTTGAATCGTGCTTTCAACGTGAGATTCTTGCGGAATTGAGAAAGAAATATCTAAGATCTCCATAAAAACATTACAAATTGAATGACGAATCGATCATATAGTTATTGAACAATGCAAAGTTCATCTTCCTTGTTCCTCTTTATAAGCGAAAGGAGAATTTGCAAAGAATTGATTTATTATCAATAATAAAATATTAACATTTTAGCATTACAGTTAAGAGTAATTTTGCATTAACGAAATAAGTTCGCGGTGTTTATTTATCAAATGAAATATCTGCCAATTCGCTCGATAAGCTTTTGCGAAATTTCTGGTAAAGCTATTGGGTTAGCAAGTTGTATAGAATTTCTGGGATTTCTAGGCGAAGGAATGAATCCACCCGTTAATTCTCATCTTCGTTTTTCCAATCAGCTCTGCATTATTACAAGACTTCCACAAACAGCTAAACAGCTGGCAGTCAAACTTGGTATATATGCTGGATGCATAACATCTTTCTGGCTAATGTGTGCCAAGCCATTAAAGATGCGTATAAGCTGGCGTTGTCGCGATGAAAGACGGCGCTTGTGTCATGATATTTTTCCCTTATTTTCCGCTCTTTCTCTCTCTCTCTCTCTCTCTCTCTCTCTCTCTCTCTCTCTCTCTCT